ATCGTGGCCAGTGTGGATGGCGGGGTTCCGGCCACTTATATGCCGTGCGCCATGCCGGCCGCCAGTGCGGGTCGCGCCACTCGTCTGGCGATCCGCGCCAGTCCCCAGAGTCTCCGAAACCTGGGAAGGCGCTCCTTGACCTTGCGCACCCTCTTGCGGATGGCCGAGTAGGCGAGACGAGCGCCCGCGCGACATTCCTGTCCCAAGACGGTGAGCTGCCGCGCCGCCTCGAAGCCGAAAACGCGGAGTCGTCGCGACACTTGCTCAGCCAGCCACTGCGAGGAGCTCAGGATCTTGGCCGTGTCCCTGGCGATCGGGAAATCCAACGCCTCAAGTACTGCGGCCAGCCTCGCGATGACTCCAGTAGCCAGCTCTACCATCTCCGTCGAGTGGGGCGTCATCTGCAGCGCGATGTCGTCCGCGTAGATGTCCAACGTGATCCTGAGCCCGCTCAGGGAGGCGCTGAAGATGTCGAACGGCATCATCATGGCCAGCTGGAAGAGGTACATCGCGATCGTGCAACCAGGTAGGGCACCAGCCGTGGTGCGGACCGCGTAGGAGTAGGTCGCCCCAGCGGATCCCCCTGGGCGCCATATACATGGAGAGCACCGCCCTGAGGACATCCGTGGGGAAGCCGTAGTACTGTGCAGCTCTGATGATCGTGATCCACTGGAGCCAGCCGAAGCATTTGCTGATGTCCACCAGCGTGGTGATGACGGCCTCGCCCTCTGTCGCGTCCGTCGCCTCGGCGTAGACCATGGTGCGAGCTCCCACGTCAAAAAATTGATCTGCCCGTCCCTAATGCAACGTATGGCCTGTCGTGGGCCGCCATCCATATGCGGATGTTGCCTATGCGCACCTTGGTGTAGACCCTGTAGATGGAGGGAAGGAGGGCGATCGGGCGGAAGCCACCCTGCGCCTTCGCGAGGAGCATCACGTGCTCGGCCATGATGGACGATGGGCATCTCCCCCATGACTCCGACGCCCAAAGAATGTAAATCAGCAATGCCAGCGCATCGTCGGACAGGATGGAGTAGGCACGGGGGGGCATAGCGTCTACGCCCAGGCCTGTCTGCCAAGCGAAAGTCCTGGAGGCCGCTCGCAGCTCGTCAATCTTCGGCACGGGGAGGGCGCCCCGCGGGAGGCTGCTAATGAGCTCTGGTATCTCGCCGCCCATGTCGATGAGGTGCTCTACGTCATACTCATTGGCAGTGGCCATCCGCTGAGGGCGCTGCCCCCTGTCGAGGTCATCATGGACATCCTTGATGACACTATCCTGGGCTGGCTTCTGCGAGATCACGGTGCCCTTCCAGATGTTGTTCCAGATGTTGTTCCAGACGTCCATCTGAGTGTCAGCCACCGCCTGAAGAAGCGCCGTGCGCATGCCAGACCTGTTCACTTCGTTGTGCGCCAAGCCCGTCAGCCTAGTCCTGGCGAATGGCGAGGCCCCCGTGACCATGGCGTCCTGGGCCCACTTGTGGAAGCTGATGGTGCGGCGCTTGGCCGCCTGCCTCTCGAGGTGCTCCGCGTGGGCATCCACGGTGGCCGTATACGCGCTAACCAGCACGGCGAAGTGGTGCCCCGTCTGCATGACCGCATAGTGGATCATGCGCCAAGCCGGCTCAAAGAAGATGGCCCCCTCCTTCGCGTGCAGGTCCTGCCGATTTCCAGGTCGAAGTGCCCCCGTCAGCCGTGCCCATCGCATCCGTGAGTCCGCGCCGTGCTCCACGGAGTAGACGAGGCCATGCAACGCGAGTGCCAGGTTGCGCATGTACCTCGCCTCCGCGCCCGCTGCTGGTCTGCCAGGTTGGAGGGGGGGCCCTCCGGCAGGACGCCAGACATAGGCGGGGCGAGCTGCCCTGCCGCAGTAGCGCCCCACGTCCTGCAGCTGATAGATGTGGCAGAGATCCTGCTCCTTGGAGGTCGTGAAAGTGGCGTGCACCGCGCCCGGGCACTGTTGCGCCTCCTCTGCACCCTGTGGGTGTCCGCGTCCAGAGTCAGCCTGCGCCACCTTGATGCACGGCTTCGGTGCTGGTGGTCCCGTCACAGGACTGGCGTCCGCAAATCGAGGCGGCTGCCGCGGGAACGCGTTGGGCGCCCGAAGATGAAGTTGAAGCTGAACACGGGGACGCGCTGCAAGGTCCATCCGAACTGGGCGGTGCGGCTTGGCCGCCCACCCGTCTAGGACTCGGGGTTGCCCGCATGCCTTCGAAAAGTCAGGCGAAGTAAGCTACTATTCGATGGTGCTGAAATTGCCAGTGGTAGCTGCTCTGCACGCGCCCGTCAGAGGGGTCACTGCGATGGCAGGCATCAACTGCAGAAATCCGAGGTCCTCCAAGAAGGCGGGCTCGGCATTCGAGTCGGCCGCGAAGATGAACGGGGCCGAGAAGTAGCGCATGGCCTCGGCGATGCGCATCAGCTTCTGGTAGTTCGCGCTGAGGTAGTCGTGGTCCCTGACCGGCTCCATGTACGCGGACCCCACGATGATGCCACTTGGAGGCCCAAGATGTACGTGTATTGCCACCGCCCAGGAGCGTAGAATCTCAAAACCGTCAGTGATGCCCCCCGTGTGACTGAGTAACGTAGTCTCCACATGCTTCCTGACGAAGATTCCCACCCCTGCACTCGGTAACTTTGATGCTAAGCGTCTGCACGGAGTGATGAAGGGCTGCCGACCTTGGCGCATGGCCCAGGTGCGAGCTTAATCCAATCGTTCTCCATCAAGGTGAGATTCCTGACGTGCGATCACCAGAGCATCCCCTGCACCTTCCATCAAAAACTGCTGGCACGAACTCCAGCAAGACCCATTGAAGGTGACCGCTCCAGTCGTCGTCAGTCTTGCACCTCGCCTTCCACGATGATTAGTTGTTCCCCCATGCTGCCGCCTCCGCGCTAGCGGGGGAGTAGGAGAAGCCACGGGCGCCCGCTGCTGGTCCTGCTGCGTCTGCTGGGGCGGTAGCTGCAGCGCCCGCAACTAGCTGGGGGGCGCTGACGCCAGCAGGCTGCCCGCCTGCGGTGCGAAAAGCAGCTCCCTGCTGGGGAACTGCAGCGCCCAACCCGTTGATGTGATCCGCCAGTGCATCCAGGATGCCCCCCTCGCCATGTTGCGGTCCTGGCCCGCCGCGATGGAATCCTTGGCTCCCTGCAAGATCTGCTGCAGGGAGGCGACGGCAGTAGCGGCCTCCGCCATGGCGGGCACCTTTGCGGGGCCCGGCGCGAGCCTGGCCCGGGCGACCTCCGCGTTAATGTATGCGAGCTGCTGGTTCGCCATGGCCAGCTTGTCATTCGCGTCGTCGAGCTTCGCCTTGAGATCTTTGGCGTTGGACTCCAGGCGCTCCACCTCCTGCTTGCAGTTGCTCTGGCGCGCGAGGTCAGAGCGGAGGGCGCCTTCTGGCGCCATCTTCGCCTTCTCTTGCTGTTCGGCCTTCGCCAGCTCGTCACGAGCCGTGGCCACGATGGGGTTCTGCTCATCATAGAGTCGTCGTAGCCCATCGAGCGCCTTCTTGCACTGAGCCGCTGCGGTGTCGCCTGGCTTGTCGACCTCCATGCAGTCGGCCGCGCCGCTGCGTTCGTCACCAGGCGCAGCGCGAGGAGGGCGGAAGCCTGAGCAAGCCCCGCTGGAGCGCGGGCGGCTGCCGCGGGCTCCCTTGTCCGCGGTGGGCCTGCCCTTGCGGTCGCGCCCGCACGCCCAGCATGTCGACCTGCTGGCGGAGTTGCTGGCGAAGCCGCAGACGCGCGTGGCGACGCAGGGCCAGGTGCCCTCGCGCCATGGGGCTGGCGCGTGCGGTTCGCCAGTGCCGCCGCCGCCCATGGCCTGGAGCTCGTCTGCCTTGCCGCTGTGGCCCGCGAGCGTCATCCTCGCCGCCTCTAGGCGGAGGAGGCTCCTGGCCCTCGGGCGCACCCGTCTCTCACGCATGTGCCAGACAGGCGACGGGGCACGCTTCGCCGTGATGCTGGAACCAGCTGTGCACCAGCGCCCGCCGTGCGCGCGGGCCGCTGGCGGCTGGGGGCGGCCTGGCGCGAGCTCCCAAGCTCGAGCCGAGGCGGTCGCCTAGGAGGAGGAGGAAGAGGAGGAGGAGGAGGAGGAGGAGAAGGAGGAGGAGGAGGAGAAGGAGGAGGAGGAGGAGAAGGAGGAGGAGGAGGATGGAGGATGGAGGATCGAGGATCGAAGAGGAGGGAGGATCGAGGTTCGTGGAGGTCTTGGTCGCTTTTTGGTGGCTCTGGGTGTCCTGGGGAATTTCTGTGGGGTCTAATTCTAACCCCGTTAGCCTGGAGGCGTTGACGGCCCCCCTCGGTAGCGACCAGATTCGGCAAGGCAGGGGTGCGCATAGCTTCGGCCCGAGCTGGCGCTTACGATTCTCGAATCATCCCGGCCCCACCGCGGATTACTGCGCCCTGTGCGATGCTCGTGGGGCGTCTGCTGGCTGTTTTCTGCCTTTCCATCCGTCGCCCCTGCCCCGCTTCTGGGTGCTCCCTGTGTCTGGCTCCCTCGTCTCCGATTGATCCTGGCCAGTCTCCCTGCTGCCCTCTTTCGCACTTGGAATGGAAGAGAAGATGCTGAAGGATCAGAGGGTCGACGGACTCGGAGCGGTCGGGGCCATCGTTGCCATAATCGCTCTTCTCATCGTCCTCCAACGTCCCTCCTGCACCTCTCCTCTCCCTCCTCTCTCGCTCGACCCCTCATCGTTTTTTCCTTTTTCGAATCGGCGAGCCCAGCCATCCCACCCGCCTTCTCTCCTCCCTCCACAACTCCTCTCGTCTCTTTCTTGCCCGTCCTCTTCCTCACCCTTTCTCCTTCTCCTCCGCCCCTCCGTCCCTCTTTCCTCCTCCTTCGCCCCGCCCCCCGCCGTCCTCCAGCTCCCCCTCCTCCATCGCTCCTCCCTCGCCCCCTCCTCCGTCGCCCCCTCCTCCGCCGCCCCCCCCCCCTCCCGCGTCCCCTCTCTCCTGTAGCCCCCGCGGCCGTCGGCCCGCCGGCGAGCGCGCGGGCCTCCCGGCCGCAGGGCTGGGCCGCATGTGAGGCGCTCGGCGCGGCGCTCGGCGCGGCGGGCGCGCGGCGCGCGGGGCTCGGCAGGGAGAGGGAGGGTGGATGCGAGGGCGAGGGCGAGGCCGCGAAGTTGCTCGCGCCTCGCGCTTCGGTTCGGCTCCTCGTCCTCCTCGTCCTCCTCGTCTCCCCTGGGGGGGCGGCGCGAGAGCGCGGCAAGTTCTTCGCACTTCGCGCCTCGCGCAGCGCGCAGCGCGAAGCTGGGAGCCCTTATGGATGCGAGGGCGAGGGCAATGGGCAGGGCGGCGGGGGGCGAAAGCACAGCGGGGGAGGGGGGGAGAGGAAGAGGACGAGGAGTCAGGTTAATTCGGGCCTGTCCCTCTACAGGAGGAAAATTCAAGACGTAGTTTAAACAAATAGTCAGGGGGACGATTTGTTGTACCATTAGTGATCAGTTTGGAATCTTGGTTGACAATGTTTTATTTTTCTTCCAAAATCTGCCTGTAGGGGGACATGCGGGTCGCGAGGGAGCGCAGGCACCGATCGAGGCGCGCGGATTGCCGACGGCGCCCGCTTCGGAACAGAGTCGGCGCGCTCGGTCAGCACATCGGGCGGCACTGTCCTCGCGTTTCCGGGGGTACGTTCCCCGATCCACGGATCTTCCTCCTCCTCCCCTTCCTCCTCCCCTTTAGACGTTTGATCGGACTTCAAGCTCGGGGCTCGCAGCGTTCGTCCTGCTCCTGCTCCTGCTCCTCCTTCAACCGCGACCCCGGCACCGATCCCGCTTTAGGATCGGTGGCCACCGGGGTCAGGCGTGTGAGGGCGCGGCTAAACTCAGCACTGTACACCCCCACGGCCTGCGGGCAACAGCCCCTGACCCAGGCCGGGGGGGGCAAGGAAAATTCAGGACAATCAGGAACGCTAGAACGCGGGCGGCCTGGAAGAGGGGCGGGGGGGAGGAGGAGGAGGAGGAGAAGAGAGGGGGAAGAGGAGGAGGGCGGGGGACGGGGGGGGCGGTCGTCGCGTCGTCGTAGCGTTGGCAAGGCAGCCGTTTCCTTCACCGGCGCGTCCACAACCACTCCCACAACCTCCACCACAACCGCTCCTCCGTCCGCCACTTCTACCTCGAGCAGACCTCTCTCACCACCACCTCCGCCGCCTCCTGCTGGTGCCCCTGGGGCGCCACGGCGCCGGCTGCTACAGCTGGCATGTCTTCTATGCCGGCCACGACGCCTTGTGTGCCCCTGGGCACCCTCTCTTCCTTGCGCCGCCTCATCCTCCTCATCCTCCTCCTCCTCGTCCTCCTCCTCCGCCTCCTCCTCCTCAGCCTCCTCGACCTCCTCGTCCTCCTCCTCCTCGCTGGGAGCATTCGCCGCCAGCCTCAGTCCTCATTCCCCCGGCGCCACCGACGCCAGCCCCGCTGCCACCGCCACCGCCGCCGCCACCGAAACCACCACGGCCGAAACCGCGGCCGCCACAGCGCCTCAGCGCCTCAGCGCCTCCCTGGCGGGGCCGTGGGCCTGTGGGAAGCCAGAATCTGCTCGGCCACCCCTATCTGCAGGGTGGCTGAGAGTTCTTGCCAGAACGCCGCCGCGTCCGCGGCGGCGCCGGCGTCGCCGTCCCGGCGGTCGAGCCTGACCAGGACCAGTTGCCTGGCGGCCTCGCCGATGCGGCCCCCTGTCTCCACCGCGAAGGGTGTCAGCAGGGGCGTGGTGGGCCCTGGCGGGTACCGCAGCTGCTTGCCGCGCGCCGCATCCTCGGCGGCCAGCCCTGGGTGGACCGCCCTGGCCCGCTCCTCGCGCGGGTCGGTGGAATCTGGGCTCGTGACTACCACGTCCACGACATGCCACAAGCCGCTCTCGCACCACTTGACGTCCAGGACCGCCACTTCCAGGCGTTCCTGGCCCGTCGCTGGGTCCTGGCGCCGTCGGAGCCACTGCGGAACCGTTCGCTCGGTGCGCACTGCGCCAGGGACCCTCCTGGCCAGCCAGCGCGCCAGCAGGTCGCTGATCCTGTCGTGCCGCGCGGTGCGGGCGGGCCCCGTCTCGCAGGCGATGGCGTGGTGCTGGCCGGGTTCATACATTGCTCCGCAAACAGCCCCGCCGCGGGACTTGTTCTGACAGTGCGTCTGCAATGCATGGCCCTTCAGCAGCCGTGGGCCCTCCATCTGAAGCCGTCTCTTCAGAGACAGCCGGTACAGATCGGCTGCTATCTTGTCCTCTGGTGCCGTGGGCAGCAGCGTGAAGGCACCCGCGCCCGGGCCTCCGCAGGACTGGATGCGGCCGAGCGCGCGGTCGTCCAGCCCAGCTGTAGCCCTCGCTTGGAGGACGGCCATGACGGGCCTCACAAGGTCCTTCTGCCTGCTCCTCTCGCCCTGCGCCAGCGAAACCTGCAGGCTGTGGGCTGCGTTGCCCACCCTTGCGTTGTAGGCGGCCACAGCGTTGGCGAAGTCTTGCGTGCCCGTGGTCTGCCTCGCGAGGACCTCCTCGGTGCTGCCCATGCCGAGAGCGAGCGCGGCCCTCGGGGCAGCAGCACACCAAGCGGCCACGTGCGCAGCTTCCCGCCGGGGTTCGGCCGCGCCGGCAACGAGGCCGCCGTCGCGCATCGGTAGGCACGCCTGGGCCCACTCCCTGTCCTTTTGGGGGCTCGTCCAATCAGCGGTCCCAGATGCCCCGGAGGACGTGGTCGAAGGTCTGCACCGCTTGCACGTCCACCAGCTGCGCGCGAAGGAGGTGGTTCGGTAAGCCCTGGGCCGTCCAGCGGAGCATGGCGCCTGCCTCTTGGAGTCCCAGGCCAGCGGCCACGGCGTCTTGCAAGGTCTGCCCACACGCTCGCAAGGCCTCTGTGACCTTGCCCATGGCCCGGGAGCCTCCACCTGAGCCGGCGGCCAGCTCTTCCCAATCGTCGTCCTGGCGGTGGGTCAGCTTACATCCCAACACGCGGAGCTCGTCAACCACATATTCCCGCAAAGACTGGGGACACTGGGCGGGGCCCTGGGGGAGCCACACCTTCGTCTTGGTCTCGTTCAGCGTGAGTCCCCAAGCATTCATTCTGCGGGAGAGGTCCTGGATCCACTGCTCGGCCTCTGCGGCCGGAACCTCAGCCACGATGTCGTCAAGGTAAGCAGTGACCAACAGGCTCGGAGTGTCAGTGAAGTGCTGGAGCGTCGTCTGGTGCAGGGCCGCAGCGTAGGCAGCGTGGCTCAGGGGGCAGCCCTGAGGAACCTCAGACCCAGTGCTAAACTCATGCAGCTCACCCTCGCCGTCCCGCCAGAGCCCCACGGCGGGCGTCGCGTAGAGCCGGGCGAGCAGGCTGCCGTACTCTGGGAGGGCAGCCCCCAAAGCGGCAAGCACAGCTCGGCGGGAGACCGTGCCGAAAGCGTTCTTCACGTAGAGGGCGATCAACTGGCTTGGAGCGCCCGGAACTGAACATCCGCGCCCCCAGGCACCCCGAGTCCGCACTGGAGCGGGCCTGCGGCAGTCTGCGTGGCACCCGCGGTGTGGGCGACAACACCCGTGAGGACACAGCGCCGAAAGGGCGAGGGGACAGTGAGCGGCCGAGTCCCGCCGGCGGGCTTGTGGAGCGCCGTGATTGTTCCAGTGTTGAGCCATTCGTCCACTATCGGCGGCGCGAAGCCCTCGACCCACGCGAGGGCAGCGTCGGACAGGGCGGCGGCAGCCTCGGCATCGGCGGCCACGACGCGCCAGTACTCATTGCGGCTTCCTTCTGGCCCTGGCGCGCGCCCAGAGCGAGCCTTTCGGAAGGCCGTGATGATGGCACTTCCGAGGCTGTCCCTGACGTCCTCAGGAAGAAGCGCTGGGGCGGCAAGCTGCTGCTCCGGGCCCCAGGTGTTCTGCTCTGGGAAGAGCGCTCGAAGCTCGTCGCGCGTGCCGCTCTCTGTGGCCACCCGACCAGTCTGGCGAAGGGCGGCGACAGCCCCCGCCACCTGCCCGTCGCCCAGCATCGCGCGGACGCGGCGCACCTTTCGGCCGATGCTTCCAGTCTCGCCGCTCGGCGGTGCTACCCGGAGCTCCCGCCTGTGAGCAGCGTCCCAAAGATGCTGCCACTCAGCACCTGAGCGCTGGGGCGGCATCGCTCGCTGCTGGCTTACGCCACAGGCCAGGCGCTTGACGCCCTTGCCCTCGGGCCAGAGATCCGCCATGGCAGCAGCCCTACAGAGTTGCAGAGGCGCGCTGGTCTCAGCGCGAGATTGGGTGGGCCACTTGCCTGCGAAGCAGCCGCCCAAGAAGGGGAGCCTCTTTAGGCGGAATTTGAGCCAACGAGCCACGGCGATGCATACCCGCATCCCCCCGAGGTCGCGTTTTGCTCGCAACCTAGACCCCTGGAGGTCTGAACCTCTTTCCGGGGACCAGTTCCTCATTTCTGGTAATTTCTTGATGGCACCAGGTTTCGACGAGGGCCCCCAGAAGCTGAAAATGGTAAACACCTGTTGCCGTTGTGTTCTTTGACGGCGCGAGGGCTTCATTGGAGGAGGAGGAGGAGGAGGTGGTGGTTGTGGTGGTGGTGAACGAGGAGGAGGAGAAGGAAGAGGGGGAGGAGGAGGAGGAGCCAGAGGGGGAGGAGCAGGAGAAGCAGGAGCAGCAGGATGCGGAAGGATCTCGACGACCTTCCTCCAATCGACTTGCGGGGATTGAGACAGCAGGTAAAGCAATGCATTTCGATGCGACCCTGGATAAGTCAAAACAGATCGAGGTGAATCAAGGGATGTCTGGAGAGCCAGCATAATCCAATACACTGCAGGATGAGGAAAACACTGCTCAAGAGCGACCGCCCAGGACGCTCTCAGAGCTCAGAGTGTTCTGGAGCGCTCTGGAACGCCCGCGGCGCCTGACACATCCTCCAACCCGCCAGTGTCGAGTAATGGGGGGGCGATAAAAGGGGAGGGGGCGGGGGTGAGGACAGGTGCACCTTGTGTGCCTAAACGGACCCGTAAGGGGCCCCCTGGAGCCAAAACGGGCCACCACAAGCGCACGTTTCTCCTCCCCCGAGTTTTTATCGCCCCCCCCACTGATTAGCGCCCAGTTCTCGCAGATTCCCGATTGTGAAGGCCTGACGGCCGGTGCCACCGACCCTGAAACAC